TTTTCTTTTCTCACTCATTCCTTTGGTCATCCCTTCTGGACACATGGTTTTGTGTTGTGTTTTGTTTATTGTGGTAAAATATACATAGCATATTTACCATTTTAACCATTTGTTTAAGTGTACAATTCAGTGGCATTGAATACCTTCATAGTGTTGTGTAACCCAGTCTCATGGCTTTAAATGCCATTTATTCATTAGCCTGAATATCTTCCCAAACACTGGGAGTCTATACCCAACTGCCTATTCAATATCTCCTCTAAGATGTCTAACAAATATTTCAAATTGTAGTTAAAATTTTTTTTTGGCCAGATGTAGTGGCTCACACCTGAAATCCCAACACTTTAGGAGGCTGAGGTGGGAAAACTGCTTGAGTCCAGGAGTTCCAGACCAGCCTGGACAACATAGGAAGACCCCCACCTCTAAAAAAAAAGTTTCAATTTACTAGGCAAAAAATTATCTTTTACTTAACTTTGTATTTATTTCATTGAGAATAATTGAATATTTTTTTACATGTTTATAAACCATTTGCATGACTTTTTTTTCCCCCCAAGTATACTTGCCCTTTGCTTGTTTTTCTTTTGGATTTTTAAAAAAATCTCATTGATTTGTGTAAAATAGTGTTAACCCTTTGCCAGATACGTGACAAATCCCCCAATTTGTCATATGAAATTTAATTTCCTTTATAACTTTGGTGCAAGAAAGGTTTGCATTTCTATCTGGTCAATGTATCAACCTTCCCTTAATTGTTCCAACCTTTGGTGTAAGTAGCAATTCTTCTCCAGACCAGGATTGCAAGTTTTCTCTCAACCTTCATATTCTTAGTTATCCCATGAAAATTAAAATCATTTGTCAAATTTTTAAAAAATCATGCTGAGATTTTTCTTGGAATTTTGTTAAATGTATAAATAATTCTTGGAATAAATTATATCTTTTTTTTTTTTGAGATGTTGCCCAGGCTGGAGTGCAATGGTGCAATCTCGGCTCACCGTAACCTCCACTTCCTGGGTCCAAGCGATTTTCCTCCCTTAGCCTCCTGAGTAGCTGCACCACCACGCCTGGCTAATTTTGTATTTTTAGTAGAGATGTGGGTTTCTTCATATTGGTCAGGCTGGTCTCGAACTCCCAACCTCAGGTGATCTACTCGTCTTGGCCTCCCAAAATGCTGGAATTACAGGTGTGAGCCACTGCGCCTGGCAGAAATTATGTCTTTAAAAAATGATCTTCTTGTGGGGAAAAAATAACAGCTTTCTACTTTATCAAAACAATTTATGTCCCTTGACTTAAATTATAATTTGTTTCATATAGGGCCTAAGGGTGATGGGATGAGGTGGGGAAAATGTTCCAGACAGAGTAACATTTTTGAAATCCCTGAGGTAAAAGAAAATTTGCTTTCTATTATGAATTGTGGAATGTGAAACTTTAATTGTAGTACATTTTTCTCCTCCTGAGAATCTCTCTTCTCCTGAGAGTCCTTCCCTCTCATTCAGGCAGAAAGTCTATCTGTTCACTGCCTTAGAAAAGGAATGTGATGAAGTAGAAAGCAGAAATCACTGGCTAGTCTGATTTTCAAATTTTTCCAAAAGCCTACATTGCCATGACTTAAGATAGCTAACCAGGCACGTGTGTTAGCCACTTGTCTCTCTTGAGACCCTAGGGAAATAAAAGACTGAGAAACTGATTTCTTTGCTGGCTGTCAGCTGGGGGCTGCCCTTAGTGCCCTGGGTCTTTGTACATAGCCTTGTGTATCTCGGGACCTGCAGTGGGATGTCAAATCACCATCTTTCTGACTCTTTTTCCATCCTCCTGTCTCTCACAACCAGGAAGAGTTCTCTGTTTTGTTTTTTTGTTTTTTTGTTTTGAGACAGAATCTTGCTCTGTCATCAGGCTGGAGTGCAATGGTGCGATCTTGGCTCACTGCAACCTCCACCTCCCCGTTCAAGTGATTCTTCTGCCTCAGCCTCCCAAGTAGCTGGGACTACAGGCTGATACCACCACTCCCAGCTAATTTTTGTATTTTTAGTAGAGATGGGGTTTCACCATATTGGCCGGGCTGGTCTCAACCTCCTGACCTCGTGATTCCTCCGCCTCAGCCTCCCAAAGTGCTGGGATTAGAGGTGTGAGCCACTGCATCCGGCCGGGTTTTCTGTTTTTAAGGACTCATGTGATCCAGGGCCCTCCTGGACAATCCAAGATAATCTCCCCATTTCGAATTCCTTGATCTTAATCACACCTGCAAAATCCTTTCTGACATGTAAAGTGACATATTCACAGGTGTCAGGAATTTGGACATGGACATCTTGAGGGGCAAGCATTATTCTACTTGCCACAGTTACCTATTTAATAAATTCGGTACTCCAAAGAAATAGACAGAAGTGCTTTGGGGTGATAAACTAAACTAGCCTGAATTTCATACCTAAGAGAATTTGAACCTGTTTTTCCTCATCTATGGTTACTGTTAACAGAGCAGTAATTTTTTTCCTCTATGACTCTGTACCTTGCAGGAACATGGGCATGAGGTAAGGGGGAGTATCTCAGAATTTATTTTATATTTCATATCAGTCAGGGTATCACAAGGAAACAGATTGCCAGAACTGGATAATTTAAAGGGAGTTTAATAAAAGGATTATTTATGAAGGCAGAGTTTAGAATCCTGACCTAGTAATAAGGAAGAGCTGTTAACACTCTCAGCCTGAAGAGGCTGGAAGATGGGGTGGAGGGGCATGGTGGAGCAATGACCAGAACCTACAAAGGACAGCTGTATGGAGAGGACTGCCTGATGAAAGGTGAAGTGGCCTTTAGGGGAGAAACACAGCCAACTCACAGCAGCCTGGCAGAGAGGGAGGCAGAAGCATCAACACCCCAGCTGCACTCTACTTCTGCCCTCCAGTGTTCTTTTGGGAGCTCTCATTGGACAAACTCGAGCAGAAGCCAAAGGGCCAAAGAGCCCATTTATACTGTTTATTTTTTGAGACATAGAGCAGGCTGGAGAACAGAGAAAAGTGAATCTGGATGGGGCTGCAGAAGGGAAAGAGGAAGGCTTAGGAAGACATGATCATTGAGTGCTTGAAAAGAGCTTAGACAGGCTGTTCTGGTCTCTGTCCCACCACAGTCTCACTGACAACCTGGCTGCTGAGTGGTCCTTCTCTCCCCTCACCTTTGGCAGGATTTTCTTCACCACCATAAGATGGCCCAGGTCAGATGGGATGTGACCCTGGTGGCTTTGTCTGTGGACTCTAGATTCTGAACCTACAGCTGCTGAAGTCATGCTTCTTGCTGACTGCTTTGGGCTATTTTGGCCTTTTCCATGGTGCCCTATGTGTTGTTTGTCTTAAGGGCCTGACCATACTCTTCGGAATCTTCCCTGGAGTCCCATGTGCTTTGAAGGGCCACTGTAGCTGGGCCCCTTCAAACAGGGTGCTCTGCCCCAGTCCTAAGTGCCCTTGAAGGCTCCCATCCCCACCCTCAATAGCAGTGCCAATTACAAGGCATTCTCTGCCTCCATGGCCTGGCCCCCTACCAGAGAGCTCCATGATTCTGCCCTTATGACCAAGGCCTCATCAGATTGACCCAGCCACTGAGGGAGGGATGTAGGGACCTGGTGGGAAGAAAGGAAGGAATCAGCCTGGAGGGAAGTGCAGACATGCTTGCCTTGGGCCAGCCAAGGGACTAGGGGGAACCCAGGTGACACCATCTCCCCAGGTGACCAAGCACCTCCCAGAGTCATTCAGCCTTTCTGAAAGGAAAAACCTTTCTACCCACTCGAATCATACGCAAAATCCTAACACAAAGTATGAAGAAGCAAAGCAAACATTCAGCAAGAATTCATGACATTATAGATAGGAGGACTTAAAAATATTGGTGTCATATAACTGAGTCCTTCCAAAACAGCAGCTCCTTGTCCCTTCCCACTCTACCCATATGATTGTGGTAAGTGTTGCCCATTACTGTAAACGCCCCAGTCCGGCCAGCAGGGACGTATCTCAGGATGAGTCAAAAAGAGTTTTCTGCCTGGGCAGGGTGGCTCAATTCCAGCACTTTGGGAGGCCGAGGCGAGCAGATCACCTGAGGTTGGGAGTTTGAGAACAGCCTGACCAATATGGAGAAACCCCTTCTCTACTAAAAATACAAGATTATCCAGGCATAGTGGCTCATGTCTGTAATCTCAGCTACTCGAGAGGTTGAGGCAGGAGAATCGCTTGAACCCAGGGGGCAGAAGTTGCAGTGAACCAAGATCGTGCCATTGCACTCCAGCCTGGGCAACAAGAGTGAGACTCCATCTAAAAACAGAAAAAAAAAAAGGAATTTTCTCTCTTGGGTTTTCCAAATTGGAACTTTTTACTGGATGCTTTCAGTAAGCATCGGACTTGCCCTGCGGAAAAAGCCCATCTTCAGCTGGAAGAACAAAGCCAATGTACAGAGGGAAACAAACATGAGAAGTGGAGAGATGAACACAGAGAGCCCTTCAAATCCCTGTGACCATCCTGAAAGACAGCTTGACTCCTGCCCTGTCTTCATTTTGGTCACATGAGTCAGTTAATTCTCCCTTTGGCCTAAGGCAATTTGAGATGGATTCTTGTCACTCACAACCAAGGGTCTTGTGTTGGGAAATCTGTCTTCAGTTAGACTAATAGCTGATTAATACGGTTCAAATATTAGCAAGAAATAATGTCTAGACACTCGGCTACCTTGGAGAGATCTATCACTACTGAGCCTGGCCTACCTGAGCTGGCCTAGGCTCTACAAAGTATGTAGTGATGGAGGTGATGCTGGATGTGACGTCATAGAGCCAGCCAATGCCAGTGATCACAATATGCAGAATGTGCTCGCGGCTGTGGACGTAGTGATAGGCAGTGCTAAAGACATTGGCAACACCCTGTAGAGACAGAATATTCAAGTAGCCTTTTCTTTTTAAAATAGCAAAATAATTAGTAAGACAGTAATTGGATTACTTTTACCAGTAATGTAATTACTTCATGATAATCTACTTCCTACAAATTGTTCAGCAGTCCTCAAAGGGCAGTGTTCCAGATTCTACTATAAAAAAAGGATCTGGCATTTCTCCCCATGCTCTCTCTCCCCAACTCCCCACCCCCCGCAGTCCCTCCCCAATTTCCCCCCGACAGACCCCAGTGTGTGATGCTCCCCTCCCTGTGAGAAATGCCAGATATAGGTGATGGGGAGGAAGGCAGCAAATCACATTGCCATGTGTGTACCTATGCAACAATCTTGCATGTTCTTCACATGTACCCCAAAACGTAAAATGCAATAAAAAAATAAAAAAATAAAGTAAAAATAATTAAGAATACACACAAATAGAGAGTTATAAAGTTTTCACTCTTATTTATAACAGGAAGAAAATTGGAAACAAAATGTAAGGTTAATAATGGGGGTTGCTTAGTTAATAGAATGGAATACTTTGCCACCATTTATTTACATATAATGAGGTTTACAATATACTGTAATTTAAAATTAAAAAGTAGTTGCAAAATAATGTGATGTTTATGTGATTCATTAACATGATGTGTATGTGGATAAATATAGGAAAGGGTCTAAAATAAATATCTTAAAATGAAAAAAAAAAAAAGGATCATCAAGAAATCAAAGGTATAGGTCAGGTGTGGTGGCTCACACCTGTAATCCCAATGCTTTGGGAGGCCTAGGTAGGGTGGATCACTTGAGGTCAGGAGCTCGAGACCAGCCTGGCCAAGATGGTGAAACTCTGTCTCTACTAAAAATTTAAATATTAGCTGGGCACGGTGGTGTGTACCTGCAATCCCAGCTACTTGGGAGGCTGAGGCATGAGTATTACTTGAACTCAGGAGATGGAGATAGCAGTGAGCTGAGATTGCACCACTGCACTCCAGCCTGGGCAATAGAGCAAGTCTCAAAAAAAAAAAAAAAATAGTCAAAGGGGTAAAGAGAAGAGAGATCCACATAAGTTTTTATGCTTTTGATAATCATCCAGTGAAATCTGTGATATGTGCTATTAGAGAATAGTATCAAAGGAACAAGATAAACTTTGAAATGAGAAAAAAAAAATGTTGAAAAGCCAAGAACGAATGCCAGCCCTGGGCAGATGGGTAGGAGCTGCCCTGATCTGATGCCGGTGTTAATGCCTGCATCTGTGCAGGGATGGCCACTATCATCAGGTCAGAAATATAGGGCATGTTTGGTTCCAAGACCCACAATGTGCTAGATTACATACTCCTCTTATAGGCATAAGGAGACCCTGTTCCACAGAGAAGGGATGGGAAATCCTTAGAACCCATACATGGGCTTGTTATCAAGAAACTCTAGGAACCACAGACTCTTCAAAATTACATGACTTTTATATTAGGACTCAAGGCATCTAAGGGTAACCCAGGAGTCTTTAACTCTAAGGGCTAGAGTACCAATGTGTAATTCATTTTGAAACGCTCACTAACAAGACTATATATACTTCACCTACTGATAATTCCATACTCCTCCATTTTAATATCTTCACATCATTCTTGTGTCAGATGAGAATGAATTTTATTATTAAAAATATGTCCAGAGAAAGAGATTCTACCACTTTCCTCAGTTATCCACCCAATAAATGGGAAGAGAAAGTGGAAAATAATAGTAAAAAAAACATAAAGAACCAGAGGCTTACAGGGCAACAAATGATGAGGGCATAGCAAGTTCAAGTTCCTAACTTGCTGCTCTACTCCACAGTTCATTGCCTCTATAAAGGCTTTTCATTTTCCTTTATTGCAAGTTCTATCTACAGATTAAGTAAAAATGCTTGTAGAAATGGTCTAGCTATTTCATGATCTTAAAAGTGCTATCATTTTGTGATTGAATTTAAAAACATGAATACTTAAGAAACATTTAGGCCTTTTTCTTTATTTTTCATCCTCAAAATTATAACACTGAAATTAAGACCTATGGGGATGCATATCAGTTAGTATAATTTGTGGAAAGTACAAAGAATTTCTAGATAGATACCACTATTAGGAAACACAAGTATGTCCCTTCTAAAAGTTCATTCCCACTTTGTGGGTCTTAGTGGTCTAATGGTTGGATTTCTGTTCTGTAGCATAAAATTCTATTTCTGTGATTAATGCTATGGGACACATGAGGCTGAGGCATGGGTATACAACTGAGGCTAAGAGTCCTTCCATAAATAATGGGGAACGTCTCAAAAGACTGAAACATACATGCAGGAAACAGGAGCAAGTATGATGATGTTGTCTGTATACACAGCTTTACTGTCATAGGATTTCAGGTTTCACTCTTTAAAAAGTATAGGAGAGGCCATCCTACCATTGCTCTTGAAAACTTCTATGACTTACCTGATAGAATCTAATCTCATGAGGTAGAAAGATGTTTATTTCATGGGGATCTCTAAGAGTGTCAACAGCCAAGACTCCAAAGATCCTCATATATGCATCTTGAAGTGGAAGAGCCAGGAATGACCCATTATAATCATTCTTATTACGGGAATGGTTCCAGAAGAAGATGTTCCCATGGTACTGAACTTGGGGAACGTGGATTGGCTTTCCTTCATCCACTACTGTAAAGCTGAGGAAAAAAAGTATGAGGATGGAAGAAAGGCACAGGGAGAGATTTAGATCAAACCATGGAGGAAACTAGATCGATTTTCCATTCACAATCTGTGGCTTTTTATCACAGAACAGTGGACTTAGATAAGATGACCAGTTTGAAGGTCTGACTTAAAGATTTTTAAAAAACAAGCTTAGATGTGAACATAGGAAACAACTATAAACAGCACTCAGTAGACGATAACTTATGGAACAGGCAGAAATAATTGAGCTGATATTGTGAAGTAGAGTCCCTGTAGGGCGAATCATTGCCAAAGAGACAGCTCTAGAAATAATCAAGTGAAGTTATCCAGGACTGGAAGCCAGTGGTTCCTACTCCAGAAGCACTGGTGATTTGAGGCATTTCCCTTTGAGCAGCTAGCTGGGATCTTGATGCCAGTTTACTCAGAAAAGGAATTTTTTCTTACAAGGGTAAAACCAATCTCATTAAGAAGTTCTTACCTGATTCCTTTCATGTCCCTGTAGAGCACTTTGTTCAGTACAAATGGAGCATCATCTAAAGTGCAAGCCACATTCCTCAATAGAACATTCCCTTTCTCAGGCAGTAGCACGTTTTCTTCTAAGAGGGAAATGTGAGCACTGATCTTCTTATTTCCATGGGCTTCAGCATCCTATGGCAAAACATTTCTGACCATATGTTTGCCAACAACTAAAGAACTCCCCTAATCATGCTTTCTCTCACTAGTTAATTTATGCATCTGGCCCCAGTAATTTCTTTTTTTTGAATAAAGAATGCTAATATTACTATTCATGGACAGTGGGGAAAAGGTTGATACCACAGCTGTCCCCTAAATCTGAGTTTTAGTGAGTATAATGGATTTCCTCTATGCCAACTGGACTAGTTTACTGGAAAAGAAAAATAAAACCAAAAAACTTTCAAGTTTACTCAAATTTAGAGGTTTAAAACTTGGATTCCTTTGACCTATAGTCAAATTGTCTGCATTTCTATTAAAAGTGTTAATTTTAAAGAGATGGACCAAGAAGATGTCTTCACTTCACTAATATTTCTTGACCATCTACTGTGATGTGAATGTGGAAAAAAAATGCTCTCAAGGAACTCTTAACACACTTTGTATATTTGATCTATGTAGTTTCAGGAAGGATTTTTGGGGGCCCAAGATTACAGACTTTCTGCAACTAATATTTCTGCAACTACGAATTCTTTGTACCTAAAATTATTATTATGTTATTAACAATATTATGTGTCATCACATATATTAAACATATCCATAAATTGGGGACATGTGAGACACTGACATTTTTTCTCATCTTTCTATATATTTGGGTTTGCTTTCCATGCCCTTTTCTTTCGCCTTTATTTCTTCTTTCCACATAGAAGACCTATGGAATCATTAACAAATATGTAGTGAGATTTCTCTTAGGGTACCACAGATCTCTGAAGTAAGTTAGAACAATGCTTCTTTTTCTTAAGTGGTCTTTTGGTCCTGGTGCCCCGTTTCCAACGACACTGGAAAATACAGCCACTCAGGAGATGATTCCATTGAGCAAGTGTCGTTATTTAGCTGAGATGACTGTCACAGGTTCTCTGGATCAGTGGAGTCTATGATACATGTAGAACACAGCTGTGCTGTTTCTGCCTATGAACAGCAGCAACCTGGGAGTCTCTGAGGAAGTGGCAAGGCTACAGGTAGTGGCCTCTCAGGGCCATGTGTTCTAAGTGGCACGATTCTGCAATAGTCTCAGCTTGCTTCTAGGCAATGCTGTGAAATATTGTGTCATATCAGACTCTATAATGAGTCTATGATTTAAATAGTTCCTTTTAAAACTGACTCCCAAAATACCATGCAAGGGAAATGGAGCTTGAACTGCTTGTACATCTCCTTACTGATATTTTTCATAATCTGTCTATTGTCCATTCTAGGCTTATTTGACTCTCCCCAGAAATGAAATTAGAAATCCCAAGACTTCTTTTCTGCATCTGTCTTTTCTACCTTTCTTCTCTGCTTCTATCTTGGCAACCAGCAGTCACTCCAGTTCCATCTCTCCTAGGCACTGGGTCATTTGTAATGTGCTGGAATGAATAAAACATCTATAGCAGCACCCAGTGATTTTTCAAGAGAATTCAGGTTCAGGATGCTCCTCTTTTGCAACCACTGAACATCGCCTACTTTGAGGAAATGTTTTCTCTTACATATCACTTTAGAAGACATACCTGGGTGAGGGCCTTAAAGGTCTCACTATACACTGGCTCCAAGGACACCCCACTTGTCTCTGCAGCATGTTGGATTTTGTGCAGCCACTTCCGCCTGGCACAATTCCTCAGATTCTCAATGTGGCTCCTCTCTAAAGTATTCATCAGAAATTCCACAATGCTTTCCAGAACTTGGTCTTCATTGCCCCTGAGTTCAGATACAATCAATTCTATGTAATTCTGAAATTGTTTTGAAGACAACCTCACTTCGTGACCAGGAGGTGGTTTTGGAAATTGGATGTGCAGTTTAGCTAAAAGACACAAACACAAAACCAAGAACTAACCAAAACTTCACTTATCGGTGGGGGAAATTTTCATTCTCCTCTTATGATGAACTGAAGCCCTTGATAATTGCTCTCCTGGAAAACCAAGTATATCAAAGGCATCTCTCAGCCCAGTGGAATATTTTACAGTGAATTTCTATGCTGAACTCAATATGACTCCTGTGTCAACTTCTTTTTGTTTTGTTTTAATTTTACCACCTAGCCCGGTGAAACCTCAAGATCTGATTTGACTCCTTCCCTACCTTTTGCCTTTCATATCCAATAAGCCATTAAATTCTATCCTGTTACTCTTTGGCCACTCTTCTCCTTTCATACTTTCCTAACCCCAAAGCCAGCTTTTATCACTTTGTAATTGACTTAACAATAGTAAATGCTCAATACATGTTTGTAAAATTAAATTAAAACACAACTTACATTATGCACTTCCTGGTTCAGAGTCCTACCATATTTGGATACAGTCTATTTCCAATCACATCTGCCCCTAATACCATCTAGGAATTATTTGCTGCAGTGTTCCCATTCTACTCATGGTCCCTGACCATGTCTTGCACGCTTCTGTATTCACAACTCTCTTTTATTTTTTTAGTTGTATAATCATGAACCTACTACCAAACTTGAACATTACCAGTAAGATATATTCTTCTATGATCTGCCCTATTCCATTCACTGCCTCTCATACCTCTCATTGATACCCTGAATTTGGCTTTATCTTTACCTTCCTTTTAATTTTCCCAATGTTATTATAGTTACATAACAATGTATGTGTTCTACACACACATGCACACACACTTCTAAACAATATGTAGTTTGGTTTTGCATGCTTTTCTTTTGTTTTTTGTTTTTGAGATGGAGTCTCACTTTGTCACCAGGCTGGAGTGTAGTGGCACAATCTTGGCTCACTGCAACATCCGCCTGCCAGATTCAAGCGATTCTCCTGCCTCAGCCTCCTGAGTAGCTGAGATTACAGGTGTGCACCACCATACTTGGATAATTTTTACATTTTTAGTAGAGATGGCGTTTCATCATGTTGGCCACACTGGTCTTGAACTCCTGACCTCAGATAATCTACACACTTCAACGTCCCAAAGTGCTGAGATTACTGGTGTAGCCACTGCGCCCAGCAAGTTCTGCACGTTTATAAACTTTAGAAAAAGATTATCAAACTATGTGTAGTTTTCTGTGACGTGCTTTTTTATTCAACATTATCCTACATATCTTCCATGTTGTTTATATCTTTCCAACATATCTTTCCATGTTGTTACTGTAGCAATGGATTCATTCATTTTCACCAGGGTATGTTACTATGTGAGTATATCATTACTGATTTATTCTCCTGTCAGTGGGTGTTTAGGTTATTCCCAATACTTTGCTCATATGAACAGTGGTATAAGCGTTTTGTAAATGTCTGCTGGTGCAAATGTGCAAGATTCTTGGACAGTTGTTAAAAATTAATATGTCACAGGGTATGTACCCTTCCCCTTTAAAGTATAGTTCAAAGTTCCTCCTCCCTCAAGAAGGCTTCTGTTGTTATTTCTCCTTCTCTTGAAAGACAATAGCATCTATTCGACACCATTTATTTGGCAATTAACAAATACTAGCTGGCACTTGCAGACATCATATCATGCATGAGCTTCTCATTTCTGTAGTTGAACATTTATTAATTTTTTGCTCCTTAGCATCCACTCACCTTTCTCTTAGTAATTGTATCTCTAATTTTGCTTTGGAGAAGCCACTTCATTCCCATCTCTGGTCATGTGTTTGAGTGGGGTTCCACTCATAGTTCTAGAGATGGAACACGTGCCTCAGGCTTAAGACAGTCACAACATTCTAATCCTTTAGCAAGGGTGGTTGATTTAGTACAAACTAATGCCAGACTGTCTGATTGAATGACTAGGAAGAAGACACTTTCTTTTTTATTTCCACTGGACCTGAATGAAACTGTAAGCATGTGAAACTGGACCTGGCTACCATAAGGGTAGAGGTTGTATGATAGTGCAGCGAAAACAGAAGAGAGCAAGAGAAAGAGAAAAAACCAGACAGCTTCCCTAATGCCATCATTTAGACTCCCAAATCTAATTATGTTCTAAACTAGTACTGGACTTTTTCATCGTATAAACCAATAAATTCCTCTTATGTGTAATCACTTTAGGTTGGGTTCTCTATTACTTGAGCCAAAAGGATCTTAACTAGTACAATCCTCAATTAGTTTAAAAGTGCCTTGTGGGTTCTTCCATTTCTTCTTCTTTTTTCCCTTTCATTCTTTTGTCTCCTTGAACAATTTGATTCTAAAGCCATTAGGTGGGGCAGAGCAAGATAAGCATCTGTTCCTGGTAGGGTGAAGCCAATGTGGCACCGAGCAGGGTATCAGAGTCCAAATTTGTGCAGGGTTAGCTGGGCATGGGTTGTCTGAGCGTGAGCAGGGTGAGGAGGGTATCTATGTGGTAGGTCAACCTTCAGTCTATTTGGATAAAGAGGATGGCCTTACAGAGAGGTGGTTTAGCTTGAGTGTCAGATTCTAAGCAGGACGAACAGGATGTCCTTATGAGATGGATGCCCAACATGGGTGTTTAATCTTGAGCAGGGTGGGGAGGGCATCCAAATTGAGGGGTAGCCTGGCCTGGGAAGTCAGAACCTAAACAGGATGAGGAGGATGTCTATGTGGAAGGGCCATCCAGCATAGGGAAACAGAGCCAAGCAAGGTGAGGAGGACTTCAGGTTGGGGGTCAGTTCAGCATAAGGAGTCAGGGCCTGAGTGGATTAACGAGGGCATCCACATGAAAATGTGCCTTGGCATGGAGCATCAGAGCCTAAGGCGTATGTAAAGGGCATCCACTTGGAGGGGTGATCTGTTGTGGGATGTCAGAACCTAAGCAGAGTAAGAAGCATAGCCATATGGGAAGGGCAGATTAGTGCCAGATGCTAGAACTTAAATGTAGTAAGAAGGAAATCACTGTGGAAGAGAGGACAGCAATAGTGATGGAAGATTAGTTCCATGTAGAGCGAATGGACTGATTGGGGGATTGATCAAATAAATAAATCACATTAGGGTAACACAAGTCAGAGAAAAAGGAACTACAAAAGGGAATGGGAAAAAACTAGAATGAACCCTGTTGTGTTGCATTGGACTTGAAATTACTAGTATGAACGCATGGTTTTCAATATTAGTAGACAGAAAGGTATGTACAGATACAAATGTGTACACACATGTACCCACACAGGCATGCATGAGTGCACACACAAACACACACACAGTTTCTACACCTGTCCACTGAGAAATCTGAGAGAAGAGACTTATGAGCAATGAGCACATGTAGAACCCAGATGCTGGCTTTGGGAAATGGATGATTTCAGGGTGAAAGCAGGGAAAATATAAGATCAACCTGGAAGATCTCATTGTGCCAGAAAGCAAAGACATGCTCAAAGAATGAGGTATACATGTTAAAAGGATGCAGAAAATTGGCAGTTTTTTAAATAAAGTTAAACATATATAGACCCTGTGGCCTAGAAATTACACTTCTAAGTATTTATCAATAAGAAGTAAAAACGCCGGGTGCGGTGGCTCGAGCCTGTAATCCCAGCACTTTGGGAGGCCGAGGCGGGTGGATCATGAGGTCAAGGGATCGAGACCATCCTGGTCAACACGGTGAAACCCTGTCTCTACTAAAAATACAAAAAATTAGCTGGGCATGGTGGC